GAACGTGCGTCAATTCCGGTGCCTGAGAGGATGCCGTTGTGCAGCTGCTCTATAGGCGGTTGAAGGTGGTCCAATGAGCCGAAAAAGCTCCAACTGCCGTTGTGTGGCTCGCAGGTGCTCCAAAAATCCATGAGTGCGATCGAGAGGCGGTGTGTTAGTTTGGCTTCGGAGTTGCACGATTTGCAGTGTAGGGCCGAAAATTTGGTCTGAGGATCACAGTTCAATTTTTCCGGCTTGTGCATGTTGATTTGAATCTTGGACGTCGAAGGTTTCGCAGTCCGGCAGCCGAAAACTAAGCATCTGCAGCCTTAAGCCTCCTCCCTTTTCCATGTCAAGTCTCTACATCCCAAATCTCCGTCCGAACCCCAGATCTGCTGTGGCATCACTGAGCCGCTGAGCTGTCGGAAAAGAAACACCCAAGAACACCTTGCTCCGCGACGCAGGTGGTAACATTCCTGACAGGCTGACTGCATCTTCCAGCCGTTTAACTGGAGCTAGTTCCGAAGAATTCAATCCTGAGCCTTCAAGGAGCCTGGCAGAAGTCAAGTTCCCAACGAGGCCTTAAACCTCACACCGAAAAAAGCAGTCATCACCTCGGCCAGGGCCAGACCCTCCTGAACTCTTTCTTCTCCTCTGGGTACTACTAGTACTAGTACTACTACTACTACTACTACTACTACTACTACTACTACTACTACTACTACTATAACTACTACTACTACTACTACTACTACTACTACTACTACTACTACTACCACTACTACTACTACTACTACTCCTCCTGCTCCTGCTCCTGCTCCTGCTCCTGCTCCTGCTCCTGCTCCTGCTCCTGCTGCTGCTCCTGCTGCTGCTCCTGCTCCTGCTCCTGCTCCTGCTCCTGCTCCTGCTCCTGCTCCTGCTCCTGCTCCTGCTCCTGCTCCTGCTCCTACTACTACTGCCCACGACTACCTGCTACTACCTACTACAACCTGCTACTACCTACTGCCTACTCTACCTACTACTACCTACTACGACCTACTACCACCTACTACCACCTACTACTACCGACTACTACCTACTACCACCTACTACTACCGACTACTACCTACTACCACCTACTACTACCTACTACTACCTACTACTACCTACTACTACCTACTACTACCTACTACTACCTACTACTAGCTACTACTACCTACTACTACCTACTACTACCTACTACTACCTACTACTACCTACTACTACCTACTACTACCTACTACTACGTACTACTACGTACTACTACGTACTACTACGTACTACTACGTACTACTACGTACTACTACGTACTACTACGTACTACTGCTACTACTACTACTACTACTACTACTACTACTACTACTACTACTACTGCTACTGCTAATACTGCTAATACTGCCAATACTGCTAATACTGCTAATACTGCTAATACTGCTAAAAATGCTAATACTGCTACTGCTAATACTACTGCTACTGCTACTGCTACTGCTACTGCTACTGCTACTGCTACTGCTACTGCTACTGCTACTGCTACTGCTACTGCTACTGCTACTGCTACTGCTACTGCTACTGCTACTGCTACTGCTGCTGCTGCTACTGCTACTGCTACTGCTACTGCTACTGCTACTGCTACTGCTACTGCTACTGCTACTACTGCTACTGCTGCTGCTGCTACTGCTACTGCTACTGCTGCTGCTGCTACTGCTACTGCTACTGCTGCTACTGCTGCTACTGCCTTTGCTACTGAAGCGCTGCCAGCTCAAGCGGCCGCGACTTGTAGCCGTCGAATCACCACAGGACAGCCTGTGGAGGGCCCCACAACCATTAGAGATCTCAACAGCTCCCGGGTCCTCCAACTAACATTTGATTGACTTAGATGGGTTGTGCATGGGAGTGCCCATTGCTCTGCTTTGAGGCCCTCGCGCCGTTAGCTGCACCCAGTGGTGCTGCACCCAGTGGTGATACAGGCAAGCCAATTTGCAGGCGTCATTCACAAGCGGGCCCGTTGACGCATCCGGTCCCTGGGGTCACAGTCTGTCACTCTTGTCTTGGCCTCAGCTTCGCACTCTTCAGCAGACATACTAGCTCTACTTTGTATCCTGTACATGTGCCGCAGCTCAGGTTCTGTGAGGTAGCCTCCGGGCCCATTGTAAGATGCTCGGAACCACGTCAGCAGGCAACCCTGCAGCAAGATCGGCGCAACTGGGACTGCGAGCTTCGGCTTCCGCTTGCCCAAACTGGAGAAGTGCCCGCACCAATTGGCGGTTGCGTTTAGCAACCGCCACTTTTACGACTGGACGCCTTCTGGCCGCCATGGCAAACTCCGCGGGGTTGACCTGCTCCATGCGCCAATGGCCCACACACGACGGCATTTTGCTATAGAGTTGTCGGTCAGGGTGGGCACGATCAAGTCTGCAGCGGACGCTCGATATCTCCAGCAGTGCCTTGGATATGGTCATTAGGTTGTGCCCATTCACTCACGTGGAAGGCACACCAGCCAACGAAGAGGGGTGGCGAGCTCACTTCGCGGACCTTTGCATCGACCCCATCGTGATACCAGTAATTTGCGCGGGGACACATTGAGGGTTGAGGTAGCTTCCCTTCGAAACCTATGGGGTCGGCTCTATTATCATACAGCCACGGCGAAATGGCGTATCCAACGCGGCTCCGAGCACCTTCGCATTGCGTTTCATTGCTTTGCTGGGATCAACCGATCCACTGCAGCGGCCATGGCGTTTTTTACTGCAGGAGTGAAATATATCCCGCTCCGCGTATTGATAGAGCGATTGTGCCAGGTCCGCCCCGGTCAAGAGTACTGGCCTGCCCGCAATCAGTTCCTCCTTGCCCTAATCCGCTTGGATCAGGAGCTGATCCTCTACCCCAACTTTCAGGTCCGCTTTATCTGATTTTGCATAAGGTGAGGCAGCCTCCTTTGTTTGACTCACGAGCCGCAGCATACTACATGCAAGACAGCTGCTGACAAGACTGCAGTGCTTTGCTACTGCAACAGCGGCCGTCTCGCTCAGTCACTACCGCAGGCTGCCGGTTCTCGTGAGCCCAGTTCTCAGGTTTTCATTTTGCTCTAGATCACGAAGAGGAGGCCCGGCCGCTTCCACGCTTCTTGCTTCGTCCAGCATGTCTGAGTGCAGAGCGAGCTTGACTCAACCTCTTTACCTCACGCAGTGACCCCTACCAAGCCCTCGCACTAACCCAGCATTACCCGGTCATTACCCCTGGCGGCTTCAGCACTTGGCTTGGCCCCAGCACAGGCAAGGGTGATCTCAGTTTGAGCTCTTCCACACACACACACACTGGCACAGCGACCTCCGCCAGATTCCCACCCGACCTACATTGGGGCAGTGCTCTACCCTCGGAAGGTGCAATCAGACAATCACACATCAGCGAGCAGGCCCCAATCAATCGCTGATCATCACGACCGCTGCGACTGTGGACAGCCATGCTGCAGACACAAGGAACGCCATCTTTGGCCCACCTGTTCTTTACCTGCGGCTCGCAGTGGGCAGCTGAGCGCTGCTGGTGATGTGTCAGCTGCATTTCCCTCCGGTGAGGCAGCCTCCCGGAGATAAACTCAACTCCAGTATGCCCCTATTCAAAGGCATCTAGCGAGGTATCCTTCGAGGGTTGCCGCCTGACGAGACGTCACTGCTTCTGATCCAAAAGTCCCGCTGTAGTGCGCACTAAGTCTTGTTTTGCCTCTGCTCAGTTTGGAAAAGGTCACACTTGGCAGCTTGCCCTTCAGCTAGTTTTGCCATAAAAAATCAGCCGCCTCCCAATCCCATGTGCGACCTGGTCCGAGCTTGTTGCGCAGAAGCAAACATATCCCAGACACTGCTATAGACCCGCCGCCTTCCAAGAGATCTCGTACTGCTAAAGTATCACGAGAACCATCATCTTCGGCAAGACCGACTCCCAAGAAGGACTCCAGCAGCTTCCAACGATTTCACGAACCAGCACGGCCTTTTTCTGCGAGTCGGGTGCGAAGTACTGCGCCGAGGACGACCACCAGCTCGCTGGCTAAACCCAAAGGCCCGCCGCCCCCTCAGCCGGTTCTACTACGCCCCAGGTCACTCTGAGCACGGCGACGCCTGAAGGGGGCCTCAAAATTGTGTTGGTAAATAATCCCTCTCCGTTGGTCTCGCGGAATGCACTGAGTCTATCATGTGTGTCGACACAAATAGCGTGCCTCTAGCTTGCTTACCCTGCTGGCTTACGTTGTTTTCAACAGCTGCCTTTGACCTGTGCGCTTGGAACAAGTTGAAAATTTCATCACCCTGAACCTGGGACAAGCGGCACAGCACGGCACGCGCTCATTGCCGCAATATTGTCCACACGCAGAGTCCGCTCATGTCTAACAATCTTCTGCCCTGCGCACCACCTGCCTCGCATCAGCTGCAAACTCTCTCCGAGGCTACATGCAGTGCTGTCTCCTCGGAGCGGCTGTATGTGCATGTGCTGATCCTCGGGACGGTGTGCGATGGCTGACCACGTAGGATGCATCCGTCTGAGTCTGTGCCACGCTCTGAAGCTTGCCAACTTCGTTTCATTTCCGATGCCTGCCAAGGTGCGGGACTACCCGCACGCGCTCTTGCTCTTGCGCTTGCCACGGCTCTGGCTCTGGCTCTGACTCTTACTTTTACTCTTACTCTTCTCTTACTATTACTACTACTACTACTACTACTACTACTACTACTACTACTACTACTACTACTACTACGGGCAAAGGACTGATGTCTATCGTTATCTCCCGGGCGAAACGTCAAATTCACAACCTCGTCTACTTCTATCCTCAGAATGGCATCCGATGTAGCATCCCTCAGACGCTGTAGCCTCCGTAGTCGCCTCGCGCTGGCCCCAGGTGACGCTCTGTCGTAGACTATCCACGCAATCCACTTCAGAGCTTCCCAAGACATCACACCCAGCAAGACCAAAACCCGCAATAGCATCCAGGTAAGCAGCCCATAGTCTACAGACACTACCATAAATCACCACCCCATGTTCCTCAGTCACTTGCCAGCACCAGCAATGCAACTAAAACCTTAGGGATTGGGCTAGGGTTGTGGATGCTGCTGCTGCTGCTGCTGCTGGGTCTGCTGCTGCTGCGATCTTCACCCTGAGCTTCGGCTGGATCATCACGGCCTCGTAGCTCCTGGTCCTCGATCAAGCCAATGAGGCAGCTCAGCGACTTCATTTTAGCCGATGACAGCGGCTTTGTCAAAAAGTCTGCTGGCTGAACTTCCGCGCTGCAATGGTTGAACTCCACAACCCCCTTTGCAATCAGCTCACTAATCCAGGTACTCTTCAACCGCAAATGTCTCGTCCTCCGGCTGCAGGATCCCCTTGCAATCGCCAAAGCAGAAGTGCGGTCAGAATGCATCTGGAGCTGTAGTGAAACAACCCCAATATCATGCAAAAGAGCCTGTACTCCTTGGAGTGCCACAAGCCCCTCTACCGCAGCTTCAAGCTCTGCTTCGGCCGTACTTAAACTGATGCAAGACTGTCTGGACGACCCGCGTGCGATCACATTTCCACCTAGCAACACGATCCAGCCTGTGTGTGATCTGTTAGCATCGGGTGCGAACGAGGCATCGACAAACCCGGTCAAATTGGGGACACAGCCTTCATATAGCAGCTGGCGACCAATAGTTCTTTGGAGGTAGCCAAAAATTTCTCCCCAATCTCAGCCGCACGTCTTGGAGCCCGAGTTGCTAATGATCCAATCAACGAGCAGACAAATGCAATGTCTGGTCGAGTCTGCTGACTGATCCATAACAGCTCACCCGCGATCTGCTGCGCCGCTCGGACTTCACCTTCATTTGCGGGTCCTTCGTCATCTGCTGCAGCAGAGCTCGCTGACTCCTTGGCTACTGGCACCAAGTCCTTTCGCCTTGAGGTCATCTGCTCTTCAATGTAGGCCCGCTGGGATAGCGCGAAACCTTGGCTCGTGAGCGAAATCTCAATGCCCAAAAACCGGATCTCGCCCTCTGTGACCAGCTGAAGGGGGCTCGTCTTCCAGATAGCCTTGATGGCTGCAGCCAGCTCCTTGATGAGCTCGGTTCGTCCACACAAAAGTAGATCGTCTACGTACACCACGAGGATGCCTATCAGCACTGACCCCCTTGCAGCACAGACCACCAGGATGGCTGAACCCGGCCTTGCAAAAGTGTCACAGGCTTTCCATCGAACGCCAGCTGGATTTGCGCTAACAGCGTGTCCCTGTAGGAGCCCCAAAGCTTCGGACTTTCTTGCAGGCCGTAAACTGCGTGAGTCAGTCTCCACAATTCGCCTGGACGGGCCAGGCCTGCTCTCGCAAGCACTACGCGTGCACCAGCGATGCCCCTTTCACTGCTCGCAATTGCTGCGGGGACTACTTCCGCAGGCGCCGTGCTTGCAAACACTTCAGATGGACAATGCGGAGCCATGTTCCCACAAATAACAATGCGCGATTTGCGCTTGTACATCTCTGATGGATTCTCCTCCTCGGCGCAAGGGTCGGGCGGCTTAATCGTGTAGACAACTTTCACGGGAATCAGTTGTCCCTTCCCGGAATCCTAATCTTGACGGACATGAGGATCATCCCCCATGACTTTATCAACTGCGTGGTCTAGCGTGTTCACCTCCTTCTTGAGCGACGGGATCCACTTCTCAAACACAGCCACCACGTCCTTCGGGTTAGCAGTGTACACCACCGACACCGGAGACGTCAACTTGGCAAGGAGCTCCTCAATGCGGTCCACATAAGTAACTTCTGCTTTCCTTATTGTCGGACGAACACCGTCGCTGGATGACAACGCTGCAGTTTGCGCGGACTCATTCACATCATCAAGCACCAGTTGCATTTCCCAGTCCCCACAGCTCGCTCGGAATGTTGCTCTTCTCTCCTTCTCCTGAAGCCTCAGACGGTACAGAAGAGCTTGGTCCACGGGGCGGCTTCATAGAGATAGACCAGTCGCACTTGAACAGGTACTCACCGTCAGACGTAGGGATTGTCTCCTGCCACCCTCCTCCTCGAAGTGGAACAGCTTCTTTCTCAATCTCCTTGGCTGGCTTCGCCGAAGAGACCGACAATGCATTGATATACACCTCCGCAGGAGTGTCTTCATCCTCCAAAGGCAATGGAAAACTCAGCGCTCACAACAGCTCTCGGTCCAACCTCGGCCCAAGGCATGACAGCGTGACGTCGGTCAGGGTCAACGGAAAAGACTCTCCCCTCTTGCAATGGAAATGCGCAGCCATATCTTGCTCTGCCCTCTCCGGAAACCAACTCGATCACCTTTCCGGAGACAACATCACCATCACGCAGCTCCATCCATAGCTCACCTCTTCTTCTCGCCATACTGATGGGAAGCACATGGTTCATAGCACCTAATGCATTGTTGCGATCAATGTGTACTTCACGCTCATTGTTCATGGACACGTAGATAGCCGCATACTTTGCGTCCGGTGCTCGCTCTTGCGTCACCTTATTCAGCAACCGAGCAAACCATGGTCTTTCCACCGTGGACTTGGTGACGCCAATTCGCCCTCCATGACGACACATTCCATACACCCGATCATCTTCTGGAAGTAGCCGAGCAACTTCCCGAATCAGGTTCTCCGCCTCTTCTAAACTCCAATCCTGCTTCAAAACCTCAGCCCTCTTTTTGAAACTCCGCCTTGAGCCTTGGACACTTCAACGGCGTCTCCTGAGCCAGAAGCCTTTCCGCGCGCACGACGTTCGGGGGTTCAGGTAGATCTGCTTGAACTTCATCGTCAGGGGGTCCTGGGTCATGTAATCCAGCCCGAACATGCAAAGTGTGCACGAAGCGCTCCCTGTCATCATCGTTGACGTACACTAAGTGGCCCTTGCTGAGACTGTCAGACAATCCCACATACGCTCCAGACAGCCACCTCGGTGCCAGATCATCTAGCTTCGGCCCATCTAAATGACGCTTGCGGACCAGCATTTCTGAGCCACACGGAGCTGCAAGCTTAGGTTCAAATCCAAGGACATCCCCTCTTTGCATAGATGTCGCCGCACTCACAGCCGAAGGCCATAGTCGTTGTGGTAGTCCTGCTGACAACAGTAATGTCCTAGCCCTTTGCTTCAGCCACGGTATCGTCGATTCCGCTGTCCCATTGGTCTGCTGGACACCCGCCTCAGACGTAGTCACACACGAATGCCTTCGCCTTGGCGCCACTGTTGAGTCGCTCTGGCTCGATAATCCATACCTCTCGATCGGTGTGAAAGCGAAGCACCGGTATGTTTAACGCTCTGCAATAGAGTCAATAGAGGATCACGTCTTGAACCCTTTCAAGGACGGTTGGCGCTTTTTCGTCCTTCAATCCACGCGCAAATATGAGGTTCACAAACTCAGGGCCACCAAGGTCTATGTCCTCTTCCGGATCCCGCCTCGGCACCTCTTTAAGCTCAGGTTCCATGTCTTCACCTCCATCATCGCGCGGGTCTTCTTCTCCACGATCTTCTCCATCAGCAGCAGCCAAACCATCGTCTTGTTCTTCATAGTCCTCTTTGCTAACTTCACCAGGGTCGTAATCAAGCCATACTCGCCGGCCATCTTCAACGAAATTTTTCGGCGCACGCAACTTCGCAGCAAAGATGTATTTGAACGGCCGTGGGAAAGCACCTCTGCCGTTCGGGTCCACACCAGCAACTTTCATAATGCCAGACAAGTCTGCCGACACGACAAAGGCCGAGGGGTGCTCAACTCGTGAATGCTTTCTTCCTGTGCCTCCTGCTTGAACACATATTGCGCAATCTGCCCGAAACGGGAGGTGACCTCTTCTCACCTGGTCTCTCCCGCTGCTCCGTACTCATCTTCAGCATCCTTGGAACCTTGCCTCAGTCTCGCAAAATTATGGTGAGGTGCTCGTAGAACTCCTGAGGCCACACACACGCCGGCGCCTTCACCGGAACTGATCCATCGGAATGCCACCTCATACGCAGCCCATCCAAATGCCGAAGATGTAGATTGGTGCCCAGAGTCATATCAAAGCTATAAGTCTGCAGCCCAGCTTCCAAGGCATATTCCGTCCACAACGAAGTCCTCCACAAACTCACCACATCCGGGTACAATGGGTCCTGGAACTTCAGGTATCCACGAGGATCACGAGTATGCTCTAGGAGAAATGCAGCTTCACGGCTAGATTCAGGGTCTGGCTGAGCTCTCAACCTGCCTGCTGTAGCCAAGGCGTGAAGGTAAATCATCCTGGTGATCAGCTTCGTCTCCCTGTTGACAGTCCACACATCACTGTCCGATCGGCCCGGCCAGTTTTCGAACGGATACTCATTGGATCGAACTGGTTCAGGTCCTCCAACCACGTGCCGGGAGATCATGAAGGTGCTCTGCGGGGGGTGCCGACGATCGCTGCAGTCTTTCCCTTCCGGGCCCCAAAATCCAGCGCTCGCCCGGTACTTGACCCTCTCGATGTCGAGCTCCAGAATCGTATATCCGTGGCCCTCCAAGTTGAACAACACGTCGCTCAGACTTCCCAGCATACAGGTGAACAGGCCACTTGTTAGACGACCACAATCGCTTTCTCGTCCTCCGACAAAGCCTACCCCCCGTTCTCTTCTGGAACAGCATCCGCCAGACCGGCCTTGCATTCCTATGGCACTTCTTGAAAGAAGGGTGCGCTTTCAACCACCTTCAGAGCTTGTGAGGTGATCTCACCATCGACATACGAAATCAGATAGTCAAAGCACGTTCGCTCCATGGCAAGCGCTGCCGCCTTCACTCTAGTCCGAGTGTCCGCTGTTCTCCGACGGAGCTCTTGCAGCCTCGCACCCTCAAGCTGAGAGATCAACCTCGACGCCTCCTGCTCTGTGACCTCCGGACATCCTTCACGAACACGAAGAACAATAACCTCGCCATTCTTGCCCTCTAGCTTGCACTTGGTTTTTCCCCACGTCATTGTGTATCCCAACTGGCTAACCAAGGCTCCCAACGGCACTATCGGAGAAGCAGAAGTCGCCGAGGTCATCGAGTTAATGGGTACAAGAATTGTACCCGCAGCATTCATGCGGAGACCAATGGACTCGCCGCCAGCAAGGTTCACCGTCACTTGATCAGACTCCTCCCACTCCTCCTGGGATGTGGCACGCCACAAAGCATGCGTAGATCCCAAGTCAACTAGCGCAAACATTGCCAACTCATCAGAAGTAGAAGCCGGCTTTCTCAACGCCATGACACTCACCGAAGGAGACTTAGGGTTTGGAGGCTGAGCTCCGGCGACTTTCGCCGCTGCCTGAAGCAAGCTTTCAAGAGTCCAGACTGGCTCCCCTGCTACCACCTGAGGCACTGCCACTGGTGACGTTTCCCCCTCCGGCTCGACACTGGTGACCTTCGGGGCATTCGTAGGCGAAGTAGTCGAAGATGATGCCGAACCCGCAGCTTGAAACGCCTGCCGGTCTTCCGCTCTGCTTCGGCGTCTTTGTGGGACAGTCCTTGTGTCTGTGTTCTTCACTGCCACATACTAAGCATTTGCGCACGCTCCGCCTTACTCACCCCCATTCATGTCATGCACATATGGACAACGCTGACCACGCCGACACCCACCCTGCTTCAGGAAGTATTTGCACTCAGGCTTCGAAGTGGTTCCCGATGGTGCCGAGGAGCTTATAGGAGTTGTCCCCAAGGCCTTGACCGCGGGTACTGGAGCAGGAATGACCGTCCGCGCCGCAATCATAGACTCAGTCTCAGCCTGCAGGTGCTGGTGGTACTTCACGACGTCCAGGAGTCCAGGTTGTCCATCGATCCCCAGGCTCGACCGCAAAAGCTGTGTGCGGAAGTGCGTGTCCGCATTCTCGGCCACGAATTTCGCGACCGTAGTCAGGGCTTTGGCAAGGATCGTCCGGTCCGGAACCATCATGCTCAAGTCTTGCACCTTTGAACCCATCGGGGCCACGACCTCAACCAGGTCAAAACATCATCCACAGACGTTGGCTGCGCCGGGCTCTGCAAGTTCCCCAGCACTCCTGATCGCTCAGACGCACCTCCAGGTTAATAACACGTGTGTAGCCGGAAGAGCATAAGAGGAGCGCTTTGAACCGCTCGTCTTGCAATCAGATCTAGTCTGATCGCCTCCACTAAGCTCTGGAAGATCAGCGAACAAGTCCTCGAGTTCACCCTGGTTCACTTGGCCGAGGTCCACGCCTCATGTCCAACCGGTTCCAGCTGAAGCCTTTCAAGCGGGGTCGCAGAAAGCCATGTAGAATACGCTTCGGATCCAACGAGATTCGCTGGACCCGAGCCTCGAGCTCCGGTTTCCGCCCCGTTCCCTCCACATGAGCAGCTCCAGCATCAACCCCATTCTGTAGCGGAGCGCTTGCGCCATTTCCAGCCTGGGTGCTCATAACCTGAAGATCAGGACTTACGGCAGTCGAAGACAACGGTCCATCCATCGCAGCCTGATCCTACGTGAAAGACTTTTGCGCACGCGACATTAAGCTGCACTCCGAGATCTAAATGTACAAGGTGGATCTCCGTGCTACTTCAGTTCGGTACAGGTCTCGATATGTGCACCTGCTAGTGCTGTGATCATCTTTACATGGCCAAGGGGGCATGATTCCGCAGCCTTCCCCTGCAATCCAAAACAGCAGCAACATCAAGAGCTTCCAAACAACTGCGCATGTAATGTGACGGCAACCGTCACTCCCAACTTTTTGCACTTACTCTTACTCTTACTTTTACTCTTATGCTTAATCTTACTCTTACTCTTGCTCTTACTCATACTCTTACGTTACTCTCACTCTCACTCTCTATCACTATCGCGATTACTAATTACTAATTACTAATACTCTTACTCTTACTGTTACTGACTATTGTTATTGCTATTACTATTACGATTGCTATTCCTATTACTAGTACTAGTATTCTTACTGTTACAACTACCATTACTACGACTGTTGCAATTACTAATACCAAGACTATTGCTATTGCTATTGCTATTGCTATTGCTATTGCTATTATTATTACTATTATCCTTACTATTACTTGTACTATGAGTATTACTATTACTATTACTATTACTATTACTATTACTATTACTATTACTATTACTAATACTATTACTATTACTATTACTATTACTATTACTCTTACTCTTACTCTTATTCTTACCATTACCATTACCATTACCATTACCATTACCATTACTATTACTACTATTATTACTAATACTAGTATTATTACTATTACTATTATTGTTACTATTACTATTACTATTACTATTACTATTACTATTACTATTACTATTACTATTACTATTACTATTACTATTACTATTACTATTACTATTACTATTATTATTACTATTACTATTACTATTACTATTATTATTACTATTATTATTACTATTACTATTTCTATTATTATTACTATTACTATTACTATTCCTGTTACTATTATTACTATTATTATTACTATTACTATTTTTATTCCTGTTATTATTACTATTACTATTACTAGTACTAGTACTAGTACTAATACTATTACTATTACCATAACAATTATTTTTGCTATTACTTTTACTAGTACTATTATTACTATTATTATTACTATTACTATTACTATTACTTTTACTATTACTATTATTATTACTATTACTATTACTATTACTATTACTATTACTATTACTATTATTATTACTATTACTATTACTATTACTATTACTAGTACTAGTGCTAGTACTAGTACTAGTACTAGTGCTAGTGCTAGTGCTAGCTAGTGCTATTGCTATTATTATTACTATTATTATCACTAGTACTATTAGTATTACTATTATTATTATTCTTATTATTACTATTATTATTACTATTACTATTACTATTACTCTTACTCTTACTATTACTCTTACTCTTATTCTTACTAGCACTATTACTATTACTATTGCTAGTATTAGTATTATTATTATTGCTATTACTATTATTATTTCTATTACTATTACTATTCCTAGTATTAGTACTAGTACTAGTGCTAGTGCTAGTGCTAGTGCTACTATTATTACTATCATTATTACTATTACTATTTTTATTTCTATTATTATTACTATTACTATTACTATTACTATTATTATTACTATTACTATTACTATTACTATTACTATTACTATTATTACCTTACTATTACTATTACTATTATTATTTACTATTATTATTACTATATTACTATATATGAGTACTATTATTATCATTTTTTATTATTATTTTTACTATTACTATTACTATTATACTATATTACTATTGCTATTACTATTACTACTATTATTATTATTATTATTACTTACTTACTATTACTATTACTATTACTATTACTATTACTATTACTATTACTATTACTATTATTATTATTACTATTACTATTACTTATTACTTACTATTCTATTACTATTACTATTACTATTACTATTACTATTACTATTGTATATTACTATTACTTTTACTTTACTATTATATTCTATTTCTATTATTATTACTATTACTTTTACTTTTATGAGTACTATTATTATCACTATTATCATTACTATTATTATTACTATTATTAATACTATTACTAATACTAGTATTATTACTATTACTATTACTATTACTATTACTATTACTATTACTATTATTATTACGATTGCTATTACTCTTACTATTACTATTACTATTACTATTATTATTACTATTACTATTAGTACTATTACTATTACTGTTATTGTTACTACTATTATAATTATTACTATTATTATTGCTATTACTATTACTATTATTATTACTATGATTATTACTATTGCTATTACTATTACTATTACTATTACTATTACTATTACTATTATTGTTACCATTACTATTACTATTACTATTACTATTACTATTACTATTACTATTAGAGGTAAGACATTACGGGCCCCATATTTTCCAGTCAAAATGCTGTTTTCTAAGAGTTTTCAGTACAAAAACTTACAATCGTCATAATTTGCATACTAGTGGTTTTCAAGCTTACTTAACCCTGTTGCTCTTGCTGCCTGATATGGGAAATACTTTTCCAATCAACATGGGATGCACGTGTGACTACCTTTCATTGTGGAGTCTCATGAAGACTATCCGATAAATCAATGCCACTTCAATCTTGTGGTTGTTCTTTGTGTCTCATAGTATAATCTTGCAGATAAATGAGATACAATGCGTCTGCGAAACCGTGCATTTCTCCACCCTTGAATGATGTACAAGACCGGTCAATCTATATAACTTTTGTATATCAACGTAAAGAATCGCTTACATATCCTACCGGTTTTTGCAGGCCCCATCATGTGCATGGTAACATATGATTTTGGATATAGACGTCCAGCATATACTGTAGCATGACAAGTTGAGTTTGGCATCATACAGGCAGGTTGCTCAAACGGTTCCCACCGTCTCAAGCTGTATACATGCAGGCGATCAACTGGATCGTGTTACCGGATCCATTTGCATATGTACATATATACATATATGTGCATAGATGTCTTTGCTACATTCAGTTTCGATACCGTTTTTCGTATGTATGCTAGCTTGTTTAGTGCAACCTCCTTCAAAAGCGAATTTATTGTTTGCGATTATTATTGCATTGGTTGTCCTTGTTTCGGAGCTCCCAGTCCAATAATTTGTCCAGTATTTGGAGCTGTGTGTGCGGAATTGTGTATTTCAATTGCAATAGCTTCTCACAGAAGCCAACCCAGAAAACTGAAAACCTACGACCTTCGAAGACAATCATCGCATGGATGTTGCTGTATACATCCTGACAGCTACAATGCTGGCTTATTCAGATTAGTGATCATTGCGGCTGAAGCCCACAAGCCCCCAAAGGATAAGGATATAATTGAGTTAATATACTTTTCAAGGAGATGGTGCTTTGCTATCATTATTGTATATGCAGACATATGGAGATCCACCTGCAATATTAATCATTTTCGCTGTCTTGTTGCTCATACCATCTAGTCATAAGTTGACTGCCGTGAAAACACATTATTTGCACATGCACACACAAACATACACCGACACGCACATACGATTGTCATCAGCTGTAAACGATACCGCTTGTTATATCTATGCTGCAGGCAATGCACCTGTATGCCGCAACCATTCTGATATGGTCTTGTTAAAGCCCATGACGCACTTCATCGTGTGTCTTGTGGATATCTCCGTAAACTAAATCCTGTTACCCAAGAAAACGTATAAGAACTATACTATGCCTAAAACCAACTTTTTAATATGTGACATCATCAAGAAGTCAAGTATCTCTTGTGGTGGAAGTAAACATGGCAGATTACATTGGCAGCTGCATGCCAGTTTTGGCAAGAGTAATGGAGCCATCATAATGAGGCACCCAACCGGCAGTTGAACAGGATATTCGCCACATTCCTTCGATGTAAAAGGCATGTTATGTGTTGAATATGGCCATATCAACATAGAGCACCAGGAAATTTCTTCAACATATCATTATGATATTGAGCCATCCGTATAGATCATCGCAGTATGTGTCCTTATAAGATGCCCACATCGTTCGGGCTTCCCCCTTTACGCCTTCCGGCCGCGCGGGCAAGCGGGATTGCACCACATATTGGTTAAACCCCTCGGTAGACCTTTCTAAAAGCCCGGAGACTTATTCTCACACATAAACCCAATCTCGCATGAAGTTACAACAGTCACAGCTAAGTATGAATAGGTCGCAAGATGCAGGCAGCATCTCATGACACATATCTTCACTATGAGATTTGACTTAAATGTCCTCGTGCATCCCGTGGGCTACCTCATGCTACATGCGCACGAGTGTGTTACGCCATATCATACTATGATGCGCATGGTTCACGGGAAGATTGATACTTGACCATGACGTGCTCATGAGATATATTGTTTCCATATCTAGCCAGTTGTG